TTATTTACAAGCGCTACATTCCACTAACTCTACCACTTTGACCGTTCTCGCTAGTTTCTTTGGTGTTGCCTTTGCTTTTGCTTTTGGTTTTGCCTCTTCTTTGATTTCTTCCTTAGGTTCTTCTTTAGTTCCTTCTTTGATTTGTTCAGTAGGTTGTTCTTCATTGGTTGTTTCAATTATTTCATTCGCTATTGTTTCGGTTGCTTCTTCACAGAAAATAAGGAGGAGAAGAAAGACTGGTTAGGTGAAAGAAAAAAACATTAGAGTGTATAATGCTAGATTAAGCACTATAATGGATGAACTGGAGGATTATTATCATTATGAAGAATACAAGAAACGATTTAAATTACTGTTTGAGTTTTATCAGTTAGAAGAATCATTAAAATAGTTTAAAAATTAGTTTTGTGTTGTATATTGACAGTACCCCCATGCCAGTGCCCCGTGTGCTTCCATAAGCGCATCAACAGAATGTGGTAATGGTCTAATTAGTTTGTTTCGTGCTTTTGGAAGAAGGAGAAGAAAACCCCCGATAGTCCCTATGTAATGTTCTAATGACTTAATTCAAGAATTCAAAATCATTAGAGTATTGTTTCGGTCTAACCGTGTTTAAAGACTAGACTTTGTAATATAGTAAGATGGAGAAACGAGTGTGTAAATCGTGTTGTGCGACTAAAGATGTTGAAGAGTTTGACGGCTTTAAGACTTGTAATAAGTGCCGTGAAGCGAAAAGAAAATGTTACGGTAAAAACAAAAACGAGTATAACCAAGCGAGAAGAGAAGAGAGGGCAAAAGGGAGCCAACTATGCGAAGAATGCGGACACAAAATAAAACACGAAAACTGGGATGCCCATTTCCATTATGCGTTACATCCGAAATCGGAACTAAACGTATTGATGAAAGATTATTTAAGGAAATTAGGTAATTTAAGGAAAGATGGCAAACTAAACGACGAATTACAAGCAGAGATTAAGGCAGAATACGAGAAGCAGAAAAGGGAAATACGCAAACGATTAAACGAGCAATTCCCTAATAAATCTGTTGATGATGATGATGATGAACCGCATCCAGAACCCGAGAAACCTAAATCCGATCCTGACAAACCTAAATCCGATCTTGATAAAGTATTCAATCACGTCCCTCAATTGCTATTTAATGACGAGCTTTTAGAAGACTATTTTATGCTGTTTGGCAAGCGCAAGGACAGAATAATGATTGAAATTCCTGTAGATAGGTCTTAAGAAAAGAATTTCTGAAGAAAAGACACTTAAAGAAATAACAACTATATATATTAAGAGGAAAATGGATTATACAGATTTAAATACATATAAATACAAGTGAAGTATATCAAGAAGATATATGAAATGAAAATAAATGAAACAGATTACTTAAACAAAATGAAGGACTTATGTAAGTTGCTTAAAGTTTATGGAAGTGTTTTTGATCAAGAAGGTGTCTTGAATGTTAGGCGCGATATATCTCTTTTAGAGGGTAAAATTTCAGAAGATAAACAGTTAATAAAACAATATTCGGATCTAATTGAACATATTGAAATACTTTGTCAGAATGGGGGAAAACGCAGACGCTAAATATTTCGATGTGAAACCAAAGAATGGAGTTAAGTGGTTGAATAAAAGTATTCAGGACATTGAAGCAGAATACAGCGAACTAGTCAAGCCTAAATAATAAACCAATAATAATATTATTTTGTTGAAATAATATTATTCTTGTTTTCCTACCTTATTCCTAAACATATTCCTATTATTGTAAAATTATTTAAGATGACCATTTCCATTTTCTAGGGTCAGGGATTTCGGGTTGGGCATATGGGTTTTTCTATGGGGGGTGTTGGTATATGGGTTTGAGGTTGGGATTTTTCTATGTGGTGGTGTGTGGTTTCTTCTAGTGGTTCCATCTTGTGGGTATTTGGGTATAGGTTGTTATGGTTTTGGGTCTTCAGGTGAGTTATTCCTAGGGTTCTACCTATGGGTCTTGGGTCGGTTTAGGGTTGAGGTATAGGTTGTTATGGTTTGGGTGCTAGGGGGTGGTGCATGGTTAGAAAATGGAAATGGTATATGCTTGGGGGGTTGAGGGGGTTATTCGGTTTAGGGTTTGGGGTTCACGGGGTTTTGGTGGGAAGAAGGGGTTCGGGGTCTAGGGGTTTTAGGGGTTGCAGGTTTGGGGGTCAGGGGGTTCAGGGCGTTCAGGGGGTTAAGGGGGTTTGGGGGTTCAGGGGATTTAGGGGTTTTAGGGCTTTCCGGGGTTGTATTGCAGAGAGGGGGGTTTAGGGGGTCATTAGGGGGTTAAGGGGTTTTAGGGCTTCAGGGGCTTCAGGAGCTTTAGTGGCTTAGGGGTTTTAGGGCTTCAGGAGGTTTGTTCGTTGAAGGGAGGCTGGAGGCTCACGACAGCGAGTCGAAGACCAGGATATGTTGCGCACGAGATCGTCCTCATCGTCATAAGAGAAAACTGCAATATGAACAATCGTAGGAATAGCCCATATGAAACGTAGGCAATGATGGTGGTCTTATGACAATGAGGAACCTAATGACCTCACTCGGTCGCCTTGTGGATTCGGTTGTGGGTAGTCAGGAAGCTAGCCGCCCTGAGCGAGCGATGAGCGAGAGCTCATCCGCATACCTGCGGCGAACAGACATGAAGCAGCAAAGTCGAAGAGTCAGCGACCATGGTTCAACCCCGCACCCTTAACCTGCATGTCGTTGTTTGCTCGGCTGTGCGGATCGATCAGTTCACGCACTGCTGGAATGTTGCTTCTTGTATATGAGACGGTCGCGATAAGTCAGATGACAGTCAGAAATGTCAAGCTGCCCTTTCTTTTTCTGCCCTACTACGACCAATTTAGTTTGTTTTTTTCCGGGTCGTCTTGCTATTTGCTGTAGTCACTACCATCCGCCGATGCAGGATTCGCGGGTGTAATGCCCGGGCCCCCAAGGAGGGAACGTGAGAACGTGAACAAAGTCTTTCAACATCCCAAAGTTTAGGGTTTAGGATTTAGGGGCACTTTGGGACAGGTATTTGCCAAAAAAAATCCTAGGTGTGGGAGGGTACGAAACGCATGTGTTTGCCTGCCGTGTAGAGGGAGGTCTCTGAGCCTGTGCTGCGTGGTCTTTCTTTCGATCAATGTTTTTCGGAGGCAGGGGGTGTGACTTAGTTGGGCAAAAGGCAAGATGAAGGGTTGGCAAAAGTGAGCATATTTCTGGATGCCGATTAGGTCAGAGAGTTTGGGTTGACCACGGTTTTAGGCAAAGTTTGGGTAGTGTGGAGGTGCCCTAATCCTTCTTTCCTGATCTGAGATCTTGGGTTTAGGGTTCTCCGGGTTTTCAGGGTTTTAGAGGGTTGTCCCTAAACCCCACACCCTAAACCCTAAACCCTAAACCCTAAACTTGTAGGGGCGTTATCATGCACCCAAATTGCCGGTTTAGGTTAGGGTTTACGGTTTGAACTGCAGCCTGCGAGCCTGAAGACTCCAACCCCCGAAGGCCCATTTTCAAGGAGGCGAGGGTTTAGGGTTTCGGGTTTGGGGTTTAGGGTTTAGGGTTTAGAGTTTCGGGATGAGGGTTTAGGGACAAGAGCGCTTGAGCCCCTGAACTGCTTAGGCCCTCAGCCCCAAACCCCGAAAGCCCAGCCCCAGCAAAAAGGCCTCTTCAAGCTGTGGACGCGCTGTCCCATGAAGAGGAGGCTGAGTTGGAGGCAGGGGGAGCAGTTTCGGTTTCTTTATATCTTAAAGGTGGAGGACACAGCCGGGCATGATGTAGAGGATGCCAATATGGGGCGATTTCAGGACATCAGCAGCATGGGCAGTCATGGACGTGTTCGTTCCAAGATAAATGCATGTGTACAGAGAAGATGCACGGTGCACTGTAGGCAAGCCTACCTACACCCTACAGGCTAAACCCTAAACCCTAAACCCTGAACCCTGAACCCTAAACCCTAAACCCTGAACCCTGAACCACCCTAAACCCCAAACCCTAAACCCTAAACCCCAAAACCGTAAACCCTGAACCCTGAACCCCGCACCCTGAACCCTGAACCCCCAACCCTAACACAGGCGAAGGAGAAATCACCCTTGCGACCCTTCTTGAGGCGCTGCGAATCGAAGCCGCGCGCCTTCGGGAGGCTTGGGCCAGCGTTAAGGCAGTGAAGACTACGCATGGGGGCCCTACTCCCGCACCCTAAACCCTTTTTGCCTAAACGCTAAACCCTAAACCCTAAACCCAAACCCTAAACCCTAAACCCTAAACCCTAAACCCTAAGCCCTGAGCCCTAAGCCCTTACTCCTTCAGGCTTCCTAATATGGTGGTTTTTACTTGTTTGGGGTCATTATGGCTTCCTTGAGAAGGTGATGTTTTGAGCTGCTGAAGAAGCCCTGTAATGGGAACCTTCTCCGTTTTCAACCCGCAACCTTATAAACTCAACACCCCAAACCCTAAACCCTGAACCGTGAACCGTGAACCGTAAACCGTGAACCGTAAACCCTAAACCCTAAACCCTAAACCCTAAACCCAAGACCTTTGGACGATGCCTCTTGTGACCGTAGGAAGCCCTGCGGGATGCCAATTCCCGCGAGAGCTTGGAGCGGAAGGCTCCCCTGCGCTTCGAGCTGGGAGAGGTTTAGGGTTTAGGGTTTAGGGTTTAGGGTTTCGGGTTTAGGGTTTAGGGTTAGGCTTTAGTGGAAGGAACAATCCTCTAGCCAAGGGAGAGATTGGAGGTTTTTTCGGGAAGCTCCTTCAACAAGGCCCTACTTGGTTTACCGCAACCCCCAAACGCAGCGACCCCTATCATCATGACGATTATGCATTTGTTTTTGAAGATTGCAGGAGCCAAGCAATCCGTTTTCTCGTACCTTTGAGACTCTTTTTGCTGAATCAGAGGAGCTGGAGACGGTTCGCTTGCCGCCGAGGGCTTGAGATTGCAAGTGTGATGCCCTGCCCAGGGACTTTTTCTGTCGCCTGTTCTACACGAACTGGGACGTTGTTTATAGTGCCATGTATGCTGCTGCCGTGGACCTGGCAGCATCGCCAGAGCTCATTCTTCAAGAGAGCAGCTTATCCCAGCAGCAGCTGATGTTTTTCTTGCTAACGGGCGCGGTGGTGCTTCTGTCTGGCCTGTGCCAGTTCATGTGGTACGGCCATGGTCAGGCCGGAGGGCGGACTGCCCAGAACGAGGCAGTCTCTCTTCGCCAGGCCTGTGTTTCAGACTCGGACTGTCAGAGTGGCGGACAGCTACAGGACCCACAGGAACTAGGTCCAGGCTCTTCGCGCCGTCGATGGAAGAAGAGTCAGGGTGGCTCGAGCCGGCCCGGGGCAGAGAACAGGGATTCCCGAAAAGCATTGCGGGAGTGCATGGGTCTTGGGGAGTTACAGGCGTTCGAGGGGGCGCCGGAGGAGGCGCCGGAGAGGGCGCCAGAGGGGGCGCCAAGGGCGCCCGATGTTCCCATGCCTTTCCAGAAGCGCGAGGTGAAATTTGGCCATCTTGGCCATCGCTCAGATGTGCCAAGCACGCCACAATCCCTGCATCCTCCGCCCGAACGAGGGCAGCGCCACGCTGAACCGGAGCCGTGTGCATGGCCGATGCCTTTTCGTGACGAGTACCCACAAACTCAGAGCTCGGGAGGCCAAGAAGTTCAACCAGGGATCTTCTGGGCCAAGCGGCGGCTGGCAGCCAGCTCGGATGCGCAGCTCCTCCCGGACCTATCTCAGGATGAACACGTGGACTTCGTGCAGGGCTTTGCTCCCTTGGCCTGGGACCCCATGGGACTAAATGAGAATGCTCCCAATGCCCCGAAGCCCGCGTGGTGGGGCTCCCTGCGCCTCGCAGCCCTCTTTTCGGTGCCAATGCCTCTGACTCCGCGCCCTCCTCCTGGACTTCCGCCGCCTCCGCCACCTCTAGCGCATTTTGCAACCTCAGCGGACGACAACGTCCGGCCGCGCCTGATGCGGCACTTGCGAGAAAGCCTGCGTGAAAGTAGCATCCCATCGGAGTTGAGCGAAAGCAACCCGCTGGTAATCCCCAGCATCGGGAGTTTTGGACATCCTGACATGTGCTACCGGCCGTGCTTGTACCTGGAGAAGGGGTGCTGCAAGCGTGACGCCTTCTGCACGCACTGTCACTTCGACCATGAGAAGACACACAAGCTCGCCAAGAATCACAAGAAGTTCGTTGAGACTCAGTTGGACGAGGTGTCTGTGCTCGCAGGGCTCTTGCCCTACATCCATGCCAAGGCCATCGAACGTGGCCTGCAGCGGGAGGTGGGCAACTTGTGCGCTCTGATCCAGCGCAGAGTGGAGCTCCTCAGCATGAACCCTATGCTACGATATTTCCTTTTAGGGCATATGAGCCATAAACCCTCTTAGGCCTGTTAGGGTTCACTTGGTCCCCAACAAGGTTCCTTGCACGCCGCCGGTTGAGCGTGCGGCAGCTTCCGGCAGAGCTGGCGCGCTCGATGCATCGGCTGTCCTTGCACACGCTGCTCGGCATCCTCGTGCGACGAACAGATTTCGAGCCCGAGTTCCGGGAGGACCTGGCTGCTTCCCAAACCCTAAACCCCAAACCCCAAACCCCAAACCCCAAACCCCAAACCCCAAACCCCAAAACCCCAAACCCCAAACCCCAAACCCCAAATCCCAAACCCTAAACCCTAACCCTAAACCCTACTTCGAGCCTGAGTTCCGGGAGGACCTGACTGTTGCCCTGGCCCAGTTCCGCGCGGCGATCCCGACCTCGCTGCGTTCGATCCGGGAGGGCACCCCTGAAGAGATCGGGGGGTAAAAGCCGAAAACAGGGTTTAGGGTTTAGGGTTAGGGTTTAGGGTTTAGGGTTTAGGGAGACCCCCAAGTAGTAGAATTATCTTATACCAAGGACCCCAGTAAGGTACCCTCATGTTTCGGAAACCCCTAGTGAATTGGCGATGCGCCGACTGCAGTGTACACTTGATTGTGAGCCCGTTTTCGGGCACAGAACCTTCATTGGGTTGTCGAATTCCAGTCCCAAGTATTACGGACCCCCGTACTAGTATAGGCACCCAAGAAGGGTCCAGGGTTCTTCATTTTTCATGACAACGATCCTTGTCTGTTTCACTGTATCTTGCGCTTACCTCCCTGACGCAGAAGCTGCCGGGACCTGACTCTGCAAGCCAGCACTGGAGTGCCAAGAGAAAGAAAATTGGCGTCGAACTAGTGGTCTAAAGTTTAGGGTTCTAGGGTTTAGGGTTTAGGGTTCAGGGTCAGCGTTGAATTTGCAAAAGTGGGGGAGGATGGGCATTGAGCCAGCTTCAGCGCAGGTAGACTTGCTGCACCGCGAGTATAAGCTGGCATCAGCCCCGGTGGATTCATGAGGCACAGAGCCCAAGGAGGCCTGCGCAACAGGGTCCCTTGAGCTCGGATTCCCGTCTAAGCCCATTTTTCCGAGGCTCTGCGTGAGCGTTGCCGTCTGGAAAAGGAGCTGAGAGCCACAAGGCTTCGGCATGGCTTCTTGTGGATTCCCCAGCTGTTTGGGGTTCTTCCCGCCGGAACTTCCGGGTGTTTCTTGCTGGGTCGAAAGACCATGAGTTCATGCATGTTTGAGTGGGTGGGTACACACACCCTAAACCCTAAACCCTAAACTCAGGGCCTAGGCCGAATTACCCTAAACCCCCCCAACCCCTTCACCCTGCAATGGCTGGCCGTTTCGGTGAGGGGGGCACCCCAAGGCCCCCAGGCCAGGAGGCCCAGCGTGTACAAGGTGGGGTGCTCAAAAAAAGCGCTCCCACTAGGATTCCCCTAGACTCCTCACCCCTCCACCCGTCTGGGACCCGCCTGCCCCACCCCTGAAACCCCCTGACACGAGACGTTCGGGAACGGAAGAAGTTTTTAGAAGTGGGCGGTTGGCTTGAGTTTAAGCATAAACCCTAAAAGGAATAGGTCTGGGTGGTTTTGCCGCCGCAGCCGGCGTGGGGTGGGAGAAAGGTGTTAGGGCGGCCCTCCACGATGGGGCCATGGCCGGCCTTAGCGTTGCTCGATGCCTTCCAGGCTCTACTGAAAACCGTCGCATATACAGCTTGTACGCCATGCTACAGCAAACCCTAAACCCTAAACCCGAAATCCTAAACCCTAAACCCGAAACCCTAAACCCTAAACCCTAAAAACCGTTGGGAGGCAGCAAAGCGCACAGCCTGGCAGCCAGGCCTTCGAAGGGTCCTTTCGGTCCTCTGTTCTGAACCCGATAGACACCCACCACAACCCCCCGACCCAACCCGAAAACCCGAAAACCCTAAACCCTAAACCCGACCCCGAAACCCTAAACCCTAAACCCTCATCTTGTGAAATGTCGATGCAGTAGATCAAGGCATTTCCGAAAGAGTTGTCTCGAAAATGGACCGGGAGAGGGGGGGGTGGGTGGGAGGGGAGCAAGGACCCAAATGGGTCCAGCATAGTGGTCATTCTTCTTCTAAGAGCCCTAAACCCCAAACCCTGTCAGGGTCTCCGTTTAGGGGATGCCTTGAAGTTTGGGACCCTAAACCCTAAACCCTAAACCCTAAACCCTAAACCCTAAACCCTAAACCCTAAACCCTAAACCCTAAACCCTAAACCCTAAACCCTAAACCCTAAACCCTAAACCCTAAACCCTAAACCCTAAACCCTAAACCCTAAACCCTAAACCCTAAACCCTAAACCCTAAACCCTAAACCCTAAACCCTAAAAACCCTAAACCCTAAACCCTAAACCCTAAACCCTAAACCCTAAACCCTAAACCCTAAACCCTAAACCCTAAACCCTAAACCCTAAACCCTAAACCCTAAACCCTAAACCCTAAACCCCCCTAAACCCTAAACCCTAAACCCTAAACCCTAAACCCTAAACCCTAAACCCTAAACCCTAAACCCTAAACCCTAAACCCTAAACCCTAAACCCTAAACCCCCTAAACCCTAAACCCTAAACCCTAAACCCTAAACCCTAAACCCTAAACCCTAAACCCTAAACCCTAAACCCTAAACCCTAAACCCTGAACCCTAAACCCTAAACCCCCTAAACCCTAAACCCTAAACCCTAAGCCCTAAGCCCTAAGCCCTAAGCCCTAAGCCCTAAGCCCTAAGCCCTAAACCCTAAACCCTAAACCCTAAACCCGAAACACCCGAAAAAGTCCCAAACCGACCCTGACACTTCATGAGCTGCATACTGGGAGATGAGGGAGCAGTAGTGGCAGTTACGATCATGTACCATTCCTTCAGGAGCAAGCCCTTGTCTCGGCGAAACGGCTGCTGGTGTAGCCCTCGAAGCGGCAGGGAATTCTTGGGAACCCTCAACCCTAAACCCTACACCCTAAACCCTGAACCCTGAACCCTAAACCCTAAACCCTAAAGTTTGCAGGGCTTAGGCAGTTTTTCCTTAGGAAAGCCTGGAAAAAAGACCTCGCCCATCACCCGCATCCCCAGAGAATCCCAGAGTTGCTTGCTGAAACCAGACCTGAAAAGACACTTGCAAAAGTGCAGTTTTTCGGGCCAGTTTGCTGTCCCAGGCGAGACCACCAAAGATACTTATGAAACTCTGAATTTTCAGTGTAGTGTATGCGTGAATTCTCAACTTGATTGAGCCTCAGTTGCGCAACGCCTATCAACACGCACCAACACACGCCAACACGCACAATCGCACAAAACAACACGCATCAACACACATCAACACGCGTCAAGACACCTCAACGCACATCAACACACTTCAACAACACGCGCAAACGAGCCGAAACACACCGCCCGACATGCACCACCACTCTTCACAGCCCAACTAACATACACATGAGGGGTTATCCGTTCTTTTGTGTCTTATTCGTGATGCAGCACAAGTTCTTTGTGCTACTATACTGCAAACTGTATACCGTTTACCGTACATTCTTCTGTATTTTCTTTCATGTATACTTCGTATACTTCGTATACTTCGCATACTTCGTATCATGTTCTGTATATTGCATCAATCGGTGATGGCTGTGAAATGACGCAGCGCAAACATGCGGGCAAGCGGCATGCCTCCTCAGGCCAGCCTCTTGGTATCCTCTCATCCGACAGAGGCATCCGAAAGGGGGGAGGGTCCTTTCCAGCTTTGATGTTCATGCGTGTTTAGAGGTCCGTTCCAAGTTGCCAAACCCCAAATCACCTAAACCCTAAACCCTAAACCCTAAACCCTAAACCCTAAACCCTAAACCCTAAACCCTAAACCCTAAACCCTAAACCCTAAACCCCAAACCCTAAACCCTAAACCCTAAACCCTAAACCCCCTGCACGATCCAAGCCGCAGTCAGGTATGCAGAGATTCTCGGGCTGAAGACAACGCCAGAGTGTCGAGACGGCCAGCACAGATGCAGCCCATGCACTGCTGAAACATGTACCCTAAAGCCCTAAGCCCTAAGCCCTAAACCCTAAACCCTAAACCCTGAGCCTAAAGCCCTAAGCCTACACTACACCCGAAACTCATCATGAAAATCCCTGTAGCTGCATACGTGGGGGTTCATGGCGCTTATTAACCATATAACCCACTAATAAGCCCCTTAAGTGCCCTGACGGTTATAAGTACAGTTGTAAGTACAGTTATACCTGGTTCCTAAGTACCATGAACCTCCAAGTAGTGAGTACGCCCTGGGTACATGTTTCTTGTGTGCAAAGAGTCGCCGCTTGGCAGCTGCGAGGTAGCCAGGGTCAGGATCTGGTGGGACTTGGCATGCAGCGTGGGTTTTTTCATGTACTCACTCACTCACTCCACTCACTCACGCAAGCACACACGCACACATGCGCATGCGCACCCGCCGAAGCTCGTTGCTTGCAGTGTACAGTGCTTCTTGGCAGCAGCCACCATTGTGGAGCCTGGTCCTTCGACGCGATCGCAGGGGAACTCGGGAAACCCTAAATCCTAAGCCCTGAACCCTAAACCTAAACCCTAAACCCTACTAAACCCTAGACCCTACTAAGCCCTAGACCGTAAACCCGACATAGAGGATTGCGGAGGTCCTGTCGCCCTTTTGCGGTTCAACTGCTTAAAGCTGCCAGTCACCAGTACTGGTTGGTGGAGTGCATGTGCCGGCACAGCTGGCTTGTCGGAGACAGGTCCGTAGAGTTTAGGGTTTAGGGTTTAGGGTTTAGGGTTTAGGGTTTAGGGTTTGAGGTTTAGGGTTTAGGGTTTAGGGTGAATTCATGCAGGGCGCGAGGGGACTCGCTGCGAGCTTCCTGACCGCATTGCCAATGCCAGCTGCAGAGAACGACCGGCTGCTTTTGCTCAACTTTCTTGGCTCGGTCCTCATCCCTAAGCCCTCAGCCCTAAACCCTAAGCCCTAAACCCAAGTTCTCCAAGACCTGTCCAAGAATGCGAGGACAATTTCGGGGGGCTTGAGGAGAATGCGACAGAGGGTTCCCACAAGCCTCGAGTATGGAACCCTAAACCCTAAACCCTAAACCCTAAACCCTAAACCCTAAACCCTAAACCCTAAACCCTAAACCCTAAACCCTAAACCCTAAACCGAAAGCATGCCATTTGCGATGCAAGGCACGTTTCGGGAGCCCTCCCCCAAAACTCCAGGCCTAGGCCAGGCGAGAGCGGGAACGGCAATCCAGGGCTTAGGGTTTAGGGTTCAGGGTTTAGGGTTTAGGGTTTAGGGTTCAGGGTTGGGCATAAATTTCTGACTATCGACGTTGGAACCCCATCGTGTTGCCACGCTGTTGGGGGAATATGACCTGAACCTGAATTCAGCCCTAAACCTCAAACCCTAAACCCTAAACCCTAAACCCTAAACCCCAAACCCCTAAACCTTAAACCCTGAACCCTAGATTTGGTGAGGTGCCTACATGACCATCCTCGGAGTCCATAACAAGCGGCAGGACTGGCAGCGGAGCCGAGCGGGGGCGGAGCTTCTTTCACATTGTCCATTGAAATATCTGTACATATATATATATATATATATATATATAGATGTGCATTACACATATAAAGACATACAAGAACACACGCATACACATATGTATCTACATATATATATATACACTTTATGTGTATAAATATATATGTATGTGTATATGTATATGTATGTGTATATGTATATGTATATGTATATGTATATGTATATGTATATGCAATATTCAGACCACACACATATAGAAATACAAATCTAGATGAAAATGTAAATGAAAATATACATATAAAGATGAGTAAGTAATTAAATACATGAATCAAATATATACATGCATATACATACACAGATCAATATTTATACATAGATACATATTTATATATTTATATATTTATATATTTATATATTTATATATTCATATATTTATATATTTATATATTTATATATTTATATATTTATATATTTATATATTTATATATTTATATATTTATATATTTATATATTTATATATTTATATATTTATATATTTATATATTTATATATTTATATATTTATATATTTATATATTTATATATTTATATATTTATATATTTATATATTTATATATTTATATATTTATATATTTATATATTTATATATTTATATATTTATATATTTATATATTTATATATTTATATATTTATATATTTATATATTTATATATTTATATATTTTATATATTTATATATTTATATATTTATATATTTATATATTTATATATTTATATATTTATATATTTTTATATATTTATATATTTATATATTTATATATTTATATATTTATATATTTATATATTTATATCTTTATATATTTATATATTTATATATTTTACTATTTATATTTATGTTTATGTTTATATTGTTTAACATCTATATTTATCAGTTGTTAGAACATTTATGTACATGCTATATGTATACACCTGTATATGTACATATTCACATACATACCATACCTCTAGTCATAGGTCTTAGATATAGAAAGTTTATGTATATATATATATGTACATATTTACAGATTGTGCAGTTTCGGTGGAGCTTTAGGGTTCAGGCTTTTTTTGGGTTTAAGGGTTTTGGGCAAAAACCCGAAACCCCAAACCCCAAACCCTAAACCCTATACCCTAAACCCTAAACCCTAAACCCTAAACCCTCAACCTTTTAAACCTTTTGGGGATGTGTGGTCTTGGGTTGAGGGGGGCCATGCTGAGGCCTAACGCCCTGGCGACCCTCCGCGACATGATGAGCCGAGGCCCTTCTGACTCAGTCGCCCTACTCTCCGCAGGCGTTTTAGGGCTTAGGGTTTAGGGTTTCGGGTTTCGGGTTTCGGGTTTAGGGTTTAGGGTTTCGGGTTTAGGGTTTAGGGTTTAGGGCTTAGGGCTATAGGGTGCAGGGTGTAGGGTTATAGGGTGCAGGGTGTAGGGTTATAAGGTTTAGGGTTTAGGGTTATAGGGTGTAGGGTTTAGGGTTCTAGGGTGTAGGGTTTAGGGTTATAGGGTGTAGGGTTTAGGGTTATAAGGGGTTTAGGGTTTAGGGTGATAAGGTTTAGGGCTTAGGGTTATAAGGGGTTTAGGGTTTAGGGTTATAAGGTTTAAGGTTTAGGGTTGAGGGTGTAGGGTGTAGGGTTGCTCCGGGCTCCCTCGTGCAGGTGTCTCGGTTGACAGCCTGGCGCTGAACGTCACGCTGTCCACAGGGGTGGCCGCGGACAAGGCGCACCACTTGAAATGATGGGTCCTGGTTGGGCACGCGAAGGATAAGGCTCCGCAAAACTAGGAGCCCTACAAGGTACCATAATTTAGAAAAACGAACCCACATACATGCACCCTAAACCCTAACCCTAAACCCTAAACCCTAAACCCTAAACCCTAAACCCTAAACCTTAAACTCTAAACTCTAAACCCGAAACCCTGAAGCCTAAAACCCAAAGCCTTAAACCCCAAACCCTAAAACGCAAGGAACCGCTGCAGTGTCCATGACATCGATGCAGTGCCAGGTGGACGAAGTCCTGAATCTCCTGACTGAGGCTGGCAGACCTCCCAAACCGGCTTTAGGGTTTAGGGTTTAGGGCTTAGGGTTTAGGGTTCAGGATTAGGGTTTAGGGTTTAGGGTTTAGTAGGGTTTAGGGTTTAGGGTTTGGCATTTGGGGTTTAGGGTTTAGGGTTCAGGAATGACACTGGGATGTTCCCCCTTATACTAACACTCCTTAGTAGGGGTTACGATAGTCCCTCTTAAGGACTGTTAGTATAAGGGGGGAACATCCCAAGCAGTAACATCCGTAAACCCTAAACCCGAAACCCCAAACCCTAAACTCTAAACCCTAAACCCTGAGCCCTAAACGCTCAACCTCAAGCCCTCGACCGGCATCGTGCCCTGAGTAGCCGAAAGCCTCCTCGTGAGGCGGAGCGGATGAAGCCACCGGTCGCGGACGTCCCGAGCCCAAAACAGGGTTTAGGGTTTGGGGTTTAGGGCTGAGAAAGAATGATGAACCATGGGCATTCACCCGCCGAACGACTGGCTCCCCGACCAGGTGGTCTCCTACAACACCCTCATCAAGGCATTCACGCAGCGGGCCAACTATGATTCTGCGTGCGAGGTGCCTATGCAATGTGCGCTGCAGTGCCTCGGAACCGTGCTCGTTGCAGCAAGCCCTCAAACCACGGTTTAGGGTTTGGGGTTTTAGGGTTTTAGGGTGTCGGGTGTTGGAGCCAGCAGGGAGAGAAGAGGGAGAAGGAAGAGAAAGCAAAGAGGACGCTAAACCGGCAAACCCTCGAATGGAGGTCTTGGAGAGGATGAAAGCCCACCGCATCAATCCCAATGCCATCAGCTTCAACACCGTCGGCTCCTCAACGTTTATACCAAGCAGGCTGTCTCCAAGTCTTTGAAGTTGTGGGCTACCCCAACGACCTGCGACCGAAAAGAAGGCTCAAACCAGCAGCAGCATAGGATCCAAGAACCAACCCCCAAACCCTAACCCCGCACCCCCCCCCCCCCCCCCCCAAATCAGCGAAACCCTGAACTCCACCCTAAGAGCCCTTCGAAGCCCTACTGTAAACCCCCCAGAAGCACACAGGTCATGGATGCTGCTGTACGTGCCGGGCGGCCAGAAGAAGCATGGGTCCGCCAGCAGGCGGTCTGCTGTGTTTAGTTATTTGTTTATCTATTCACACAATACAATTTTATTGTGTGCTTTCTGCTGTTTCCTGTTCATGTTTTACACTGTCTTTTTGGCTTTGGGGGTTCCTGGGGTGTGAGGGTGAAAAGATTAGGGTTTCGGGTTTTTGGTTTGGGGCTTAGGGCCGGTCTGGTGCCAAGGAACTTTTGAAACTGAAGTTGCCAGAATGGGATGTAAAACCCTAAGCCGGCCCTAAGCAGCATGGGTTACTTTAGTTTGTCAGAGATTCAGGCCTGACCCTAGAGGTTGCCCTGTACAGTAAATGCTCCGAATACGGCCATTTTACTACCTTAGGAATCTTCACAAGTGGATGCCCAAACCCAAGAGTACCATCTTAGGGGCCCACGGTCAAGTCCTTTGATCAGGCATTTTCTGGGTCTCATGCTCTAAGTGTTCCCTGGAGGAGATGCGGAAGCATGGATACAAGCCAGACAAGTTCACCTGCTCGATCCTGGTCCACTGCAAGAATGTGCGAGCTGACCCTCAACCCTAAACCCCAAGCCCTAAACCCTAAACCCTAAACCTCAAACCCTAAACCCTAAACCCTAAACCCCAATCCCAAAACCCTAAACCCTAAACCCTAAACCCTAGACTCCAAACCCTAAACCCCAAACCCTAGACCCATGTCAGGTTCAAGCCTGAGGTCCTTGTTTCTTTGCCGCCACTGAGGTAAAGGCATTTTGCAAAGCTGGGGTCTGCACCAAAGAGGCCGGGTGACTTGCCAACACTTGTCAGGACCCTAGACCCTAAACCCTAAACCCTAAAACCCTAAAAACCCTAAACGCCCTAAACGCCCTAAACGCCCTAAACGCCCTAAACCCTAAACCCTAAACTCTGATCTTGGTTCATCGGCTTTAGGCAAAGGGGAACCCTCAGTCGCTGCAGCCTTTGCAGGAGACCGTGGGCCGAGCCATCGCCCTGCTCGACGAGGCTGATGATTGCAAGCCTCTCAGCGCCCGGGGCACGAGGGTTTTGTTGAAACTTCATCTTGGCTTGTCATGTTCTCTAAACCCTAAACCCTAGACCCTAGACCCTAAACCCGAAACCCTAAACCCTGTTCGGTGTTGGCGTAGTGATATCAAAACCCAGCACAGGATCCCTGACACACCATTCGCGAGGCACGCTCCTATCGAGTCTTTCCGGTAAGATGCAAAGTGTCTTAAGCTCTATGGCTTGCCTCGGCATCCCTTTAGGATTTAGGGTGTAGGGTTTAGCGGTTTAGGGTTTAGTTTAGGATTTGGGGTTTAGGGCTAACTATAGGCATCTTCGGCTTAGGGTTGAGGGTTTAGGCTTTAGGGTTTAGGAAAAGAAGACGGCACCCTTACCAGAGGTGCCCGTATAAACCCAGGACCTAAACCCTAAACCCTCAACCCTCCGCCCTAAAGGGATGCAGAGTCAGGTCTGGATGCGAACTTGAAGGCAACTTTGTACAACAATGCCGCGGCCCCAGCGATCGAAGCGAAACCCCGCGCCCCTCCCCCCCCCGCGCCGCCCCCCCTCCCCCGGCCCGCAGCCCTAAGCAGCTTGGCTGCGAGGTGCTCGAGGCAGCCACGAAGGCGCGGCTTCCTTGTGACTCGCAGCCCCCAGCCTTGTTTTTTTCAGGCAGAGGTGTAGGGGGTTTCAGGGTTTTAAACCACGGAGACGTTCGAGCGCTAAACCCTAAACCCTAAACCCTACACCGTTAAAACACCCTAAACCCTAAACCCTAAACCCTGAACCCTGAACCCTGAACCCCAAACCCTAAGCCCTAAACCCTAAACCCCGAACCCTGAACACCGACCATTTTTGCTTGCCAGGCCGACCAAAGCGGCTCTGCGCTGAAGGTCATGCAGCAGATGCGACTCCGGCGGGTGCGGGGCCCTAACCTCTCGAAACGGTTTAGAAGTTTAGGGGTTTAGGGGCTTCAGGGTTTAGGGGTTAGGGGTTTAGGGGTTCAGGGTTGATCCCTAAACGCTAACCCTAAACCCCAAACCCTAGACCTATTCCCTAAACCCTAAACCGCTAAACCCTAAGCCCTAAACCCGAAATCCTAAACCCTGTTCCGCTGATTCAGGTCACTGCAGCGCCAGCTCATCAGAAATCCATTGTTTGCCCCTCGGAGTTCCTCGCATGCTGAGAGCACTGAACCTTAATCGAGCCCTGAACCCTAAACCCTAAACCCCAAACCCTAAACCCTAAACCCTAAACCCCAAACCCTAAACCCCAAACCCCAAACCCTAAACCCCTAAACCCCTAAAACACCTAAACCCTCAGACTCTGGAGCCTGAACCTGAGCCCACGCTCCGCCAGAAAACCCTCCCCGTACACGTTACAGACCCCCCCCCCACTTGCAACAGTGCCCTGACAAGGGACACCGGCTTGGAACAATTTAGGGTTTAGCGTTTAGGGTTTAGGGTTTAGGGTTTAGGGATGACACTGACGTTCAAGATGGGGGCCGCAGGCAGCTATCTTGGATTTGTTCCGTCAGGTGGCGGCAGCAGAGTTAGAGCTATCAATCTCCATCTGACATGTGCTGAACCCCGAAACCCTAAGCCCTAGGTAAACCCCGCAGCTGCGAAGCTTCAACAGGCCAGCGCCTTGCTGGATGAGAGCGGACAGTGATGCTGCGAGGAACGCCGGAAAACAAGGAATTTTCCTGGGACTTCGGTTTAGGGTTTAGGGTCCAGGGTTGTGGGTTTAGGGTGTAGGATTTCTAGTGTTCGGGATGGTAGGATGTCGGACATTGGGACCCCCCCCCCCACCCCCAAACTCGGGTTTAGGGTTTAGGGTTTAGGGTTAGGGTGTAGGGTGTAGGGTGTAGGGTTTAGGGTTTAGGGTTTAGGGTTTAGGGTTTAGGGTTTAGGGTTTAGGGTTTAGGGTTTAGGGTTTAGGGCAGGAGGCTGAGATCTGCGTAGTTCTGGGGCGGTCATAGCTCTGATTCCTGATCCCTCAAGGCTAAGCCCTAAACATACTTCAAAGGGCCCCCTGAACCCTAAACCCTAAACCCCAAAACCCTAAACCCTAAGCCCTAAACCCGATAAACCCTAAGACCATCGTTTACAAAAGCCGCACTGAACTCCGCGGCCGTCGGTTTTGTCTGAGCACAGCTTGGAACGGAGGAGGGTTTTGGGTTGTTTAGGGTTTAGGGTTTCGGGTTTAGGGTGTGAGTGCCCAACTACAGGCAGTGTAGTCGCGGCATCTCGTGGCATTCGAAGCAGGGCGCCCTGAATGGAGAGACACAGGCACAGACACGTGTGGTCACGCCAGTTTAGGGTTTAGGGTTTACGGTTTAGGGTTTAGGGTGCTTCTTGTTTCGGGATGCCGGTTCAGTTCTCGCGCCTCTGCCAAGTGGGCGGTGTGGCAGTGGCCGGATACTGGTTGTACGACATCGGCACCCGCGAGTGGTCTGTGCGCCACACTTGGTCCACGGCACTGACGCAGCCCTCTGGCGTCAACAGTTCTCTAGGCTTTGCTTGAGGAGCCCTTAGTTGCAACTATAACGATTTGGGGTTTAGGGTTTAGGGTTTAGGGTCTCAAGCAGATGCCTATTCCCGGTGTGCAGCGATCGCACAAAGCGGCCACAGCAGAAAAGAGTTCAAGAGGTGTATACCATGTGTATCAGTTGAACTGTGGACCTCTCCGTGTGTGCTCTGGGTTTGTTGAGGGTTTAGGGTTTAGAGTTTCGGGTTTAGGGTTTAGGGTACAGCTCGACACATTCCGAACCCTAACCCTGGAGCTGAGGTATTTCAGCTCCTGGTTCCTGGCGACCTACGGTCGACAGCAGCTCTTCCGCCTCTGCCGCGAGGCCGAGAGGGGAGACGAGGCGGGGATTCGAGCTCTGCTGATGGAGGGGACGCCGGTAGGTACTTCGTGATAGCAGCACTCCTTATGAAGGGACTTTTTGAACCACCCCTGAAGCTCTAAGCCCTCGTTCAACCTTAGCCCCCAAACCTATAAGGCGCTGGCAGTCGTCCGCGCATCAGCTCTTTGGGTGCAGCTTTCCGTACGTTCTGACCCATGCGATTCTTGAGACAGTTGCATCATGTGGCATCGTCCAGCATGCGGGTTGTGCTCAACAAGAGGCTCATCTAAACACAGGGAGGATGCTGCGATAGAAAGGACCCTGATTTAGAACAACCCCTCGCGGCAGAGCCAGGCTGCCACACCGTTCGAGCTTTAGGGGACTAGGGTGTAGCAGGTGCAAGAGTGGCTGCAGGTGCAAGAGTGGCTGCAGGTTGCCCAAACTTCTGGGCCTCTTATGGTACCCCAGCCTTGAACAAATGCACATAACTTGGATGAACCCTGCGCTATCCTTCAAAAAGTACTGGGTCAGTCAATGAGACGCCGTCGAGATAATTCTACGGGCGGCCCCTAAATTGGGGACCTTTGTTTTTATGGTGCCTCTCATACTTAGGCCCCTTAGATGGGTAGGCTGAACCATGGGGCAAGAGAATGTCGAGCACGGTCCACCATATCCCGCATTGCCAGCCCTGAACCCTTTGCCCTCTGCCCTGAGCCCGAAGAGCCCAAGACCCCTTAAATGAGGAATGCGCCATAAGTCGTATGAAGGGTCCCTAATATATTCCTCAATTGAGGGGTATTGGGCTCTTTGCCCCGAGCCCCCTAAACCATAAACCCTAAACCCTAAACCGTAAACCCTAAACCGGGCAGGTGCAGCGCAGCCTCCTCACGAAGATTCTCCAGCGGCACCAGGATTGCGGGGAGACGCGCCACCTGCAAGGATCGGTTTAGGGTTTAGGGTTCAGGGTTTATTTAGGGTTTAGGGTGTAGGGTTTACGGTTTAGGGTTTAGGGTTTAGCAAAAGAGGCGGGTTTCGGGCTTGGGGTTTGTAAGGTTTAGGGCTTGGGGTTGTTGGGGTTTGTAATGTGGGGGTGAAGTTCTGGGTTCATGATGTTTAGAGGGTTTGTAGGGTTTATAGGGTTTTCAGGGTTCAAAGGGTTTCGTGCCTGTAGGGTCCCCTGAACCCCAACATCGCTAAAGGCGGTGCTTGTTTGCTGTTTTCTTACCAGGAGTTGCGACTTACGACGTCTTTCGGAGCCATCCTGTCACCTGTCGCAGCGACTACGCCCCAGGTGGTCGCTACGAAAGAAGAGAGCAGGGCGATATTGAGGAGGTGAGGCGGATCTTCCTCCAAAGGGGCGTGCTGACTTCCTTCGCGGTGCTTGCGGGCTTTTTCCCCGAGTCGTTAGATGAGCTGCAGCGCGTGGCCGTGCTAACCTCGGTGCAAGATGCTCTCCGCCTGCTGCCGACCATCTTGGCTTCCAGGGTCCAGAAGCTGTCGTTCGTCCTGGCCAGCCCTCTGGAGGCCTACGGTCTGAGTGAGGCAGACAGGCTCTACGCCCATGCGCTCTTCGCCCTGAAGGACGCTGCACTCGGCATCATCCTCGCGAGCTCCGCAACGGGCGTCTCGAAGCTGCTGCAGGCTGCAAGAGACCACCGCCGGCACCTTGTGCAGGACATGCGCAATGGCCGCCCGGCGCAAAGCCCCGCAAAGCCCCGAAGCCCTAAGCCCTTAACCTTACACTCGAAACCCGACACCTCAACGTGGGTGCGGGTGGGGGGGGGGGATGTTCTCACACGAAGGCCCCTTTCAGGAGGCTTTGTAGTTCGATCATCAAAAGTTGTGTCGATCAACCCCATGTAGAGCCCCAGCCTCCAAGCCCTCAACAACCCCAGCGACTTGTTCCGCACCCCAACCCTCAACCCTTAACCCTATACCCTAAACCCTAAACCCTAAACCCTAAACCCTAAACCAAACCCTAAACCCTTAACCCCAGAAAACCCCCCTGCTGAGGGCACCTCTGGGACCGGCAGCTGCCAGAGGCGGCGCCGCAGCCGGAGCTCCGCGCCGCGCTGGACGCCGCGCCACCCGGCAGCCACAGCCGAGGGCGGAAGTTGGGGGTTTAGGGTTTAGGGTTTCGGGTTTAGGGTTTAGGGTTTAAATTAAACTGTGGCCCAAGAATCTTAGACTATCAGAGGTGCTGCTGGCGGAATGGTCATGTCCATGATGAGGGTCCCCTTTCATCCAAATAGCCTCCCCCCCTCCCCCATGCTGAGCCCTAAACTCTAAACCCTAAACCCTAAACCCTAAACCCAAAACCCTAAACCCTAAACCCTAAACCCTAAACCGCTTCCTCCCCCCCCTCTCCTCCCCCCCCCCCTCCCCCTCGGTCTTGAAGCGTTCGGGGGGCACATTTCAGCCGAGGCTTTCTGGCCCAGATGGACGTCGGTCCCGAGAGGTGGATGCTTGGGCGGACTTCGGGCACGCCGGATCACATCGGGTGGAGTGTAGGGTTTAGGGTTTAGGGTTTAGGGTTTAGGGTTCAGGGTTCAGGGTTCAGGGTTCAGGGTTCAGGGTTCAGGGTTCAGGGTTCAGGGTTCAGGGTTTAGTAGGGTTTAGGGGTTCAGGGTTTTGACAGATGATGCCGCTGCTGGTGCTGTGCAAAGGACAGGATGTTCAAGACGCGGGCAGTAGCATCCGACCTGTGGCCGCGTCTGAAGGCCCAAATGCCAATAACTTGCTCAAGGGTTTAGGGTTTAGGGTTTAGGGTCTAGGGTTGAGGGTTGAGGGTTGAGGGTTTAGGGTTTAGGGTTTAGGGTTTAGGCAAGCCCTTATGTTTTCCCTCATTGGGTTCAAGAGGATCATATTGAGGAATGTTGCCCAAATGCCAATAGCTTGCTTAACCAGGCAGGCCCTTGGGACATGTCATATGTTCCCTCATTGGGTTTAAGAGGATCATAGTCAGGAATCTTTTTCAGAGGGGTTTAAGGGCCATCCTAGTTAAGGAAGGCAGTGAAGGCATCTTCCTTAGTTACTGGTTTGGATTCGCGACCGCCAGGTGGTTGTCATCACTGGCGAGACCTCTGCCGATGAAGCCTTAAAGGAGAGCGTTGGTGAGGTTCCCGTCTATGGCCCGTGGCCAGGCCAAAGATAAGGCTCATGCACTGCCATCGGTGCTTCCCCATACATGGAATGTGTAAGGCTTGTGGAAGCCCTAAATCCTAAACCCCAAACCCTAAACCCGAAACCCCAAACCCTAACCCTTAAAGTACACCCGATGTGATCCCACCCCCCCCGCCCCCTCCTAAGGGTAAGCCCCGAAGCGTAAATTCGCCTAATTCTGAGAATGTTTCAGGCTGTACACTGCCGATGATGAGGGGTTCCTCCTTGGAGTGAACCTGTTCCCCGAGCTGCCATTCGGCGCGTGGACCTACGTCTTGGAGTCTCTGTGTGCATGCAGCAGTGGTTGCTGGTAGGATTTGCTCTTGTCGGCTTGCAAGCTTCACAGTTGAGCAAAGCCTGAGCTGTGAACCAAAAAGAGGTGCAGTCGAGACATCAGAAGCTCCGACTCAGGATCCCGGCAGCATGTTCTTCGAGCTGGCCCCTCCGGACTCTGATTGCCATGATGTGCCGGCTGACGTGGTCATCCCAGCATGGGAGGCTGTTGTGGGCCAAAGATATGACCTTCTCGTCACCAGTCACTGCGGTCTCTGCCGCTGTCGACTCGGAGACACGGTCCAGGTTCACGCAATGTTTGGCAAAATGCCCGTCGTCTCGGTCACAAAAGCTTCGCCCGCGCCAGAGGGAGAGGGAGAGGGAGAGGGCGCCGGGGCGGCTCCGCTTCGGGGGGTCTGTAGAGTGACGCTGCGACTGTGAAGTGTGGGCTCAAAGCAGTCGGCGTCTAAACTAAACGAAGCCACGGCGCTTAGATCTGTAGTTCGCTGGGGAATCCTTCACTACGGACCTTGCTGACTGTCTCCGCTCTAGCAGCTATCTACTAACTTCATTCAAGCTTATTGTGCCGACATATCCCCACACATGGTAGCTTGATGTAAGTCGTGAAGCGACCATAACAACAAAACCCCGATGATTGACTCACAGTAAATCGGTCGCTTAAGTAAGTTTCTTTCGTGTCCCTAATCCTAGCCTTAAATCCCAAACCCAAAATTAGCGAACTCTAGACCAAGAACAAAGATACAAAGCCTTGCCCAAGCCGTTGTAAAAGCCCTAAGTCTACACCGCAAGGCAAAGTGGGCATGTCTCCCTGCTGCAAGACCTCGGCTCACAAAGTGGACATGCGGAGCATGGTCGTAAGCGTTGCAAGTCTTTTGGCTAAGACAGCCTGGCTGAGCATGACTCCAAGTCTTGCTTTCAGTCGTACTCTTCCGGGTGCCTGCATCGTAGTTACAAGGCCATTCACGTGAGGCGTGACGCGATGTGCGCGATGGCCCCTTTCAGAAGTAAGGCCTGTCTGCTTGTCCCAAACCCTAACCCCTAACTAAACCCTAAACCGTAAACCCTAAACTCTAAACCCTACACCCTAAACCCTACACCCTAAACCCTAAACCCTAAACCCAAAACCCTAAACCCCAAAATCCTGAGTGTGGTTCAAGGAAGCGCCTTCTGGCCATGCAGGGAGCCAGTGCCCCCGAGTTGGAAACGCTGCGCGGCGACCGCCTCGGCCCGGCTTGTACTCTGTGGTTTAGGGTTTAGGGTTAGGTTTAGGGTTTAGGGTTTAGGTTTTAGGGTTTAGGGTTTAGGGTTTAATTAGGGTTTTAGGGGTTTAGGGTTTAGGGTTTAGGCGCCGCCCACTTGATATGAAAACGGGTCTTTGGAACAACCCATACCCTCATTCTCAGCGCGTGGTGTGTTCCACTGATGAACATGAGTTGATCTCGCCTCTCCAATTCGAAAACCTTCAAGGTGAGCGAAAACGGCCCGGGGGGGGGGGTGGTGCGGTATCGGATGTTGGGGAAGAGAACCTCTGACGCCCTCGGCCGGGGCTGAAAATTGATAGGGATCCTCAGAAAATCCAGGTATCTGAGGGGTATCGGCTGACCAGGTGCGTGAGGTTTGCCAGACATGCCTCAGCCTCAGCACAGGCATCGCGCGTGCGGGGCATGCGTCACTCGGCCAGGGAACCCGCACCCTCGTTTGCAAAGGGTCCATAGATCCCAAACACTCGCCCGTGCCTGGACGCAAGGGTTTAGGGTTTAGGGTTTAGGGTTTAGGGTTTAGGGTTTAGGGTTTAGGGTTTAGGGTTAGGGTTTACGGTTTAGGGTCCTAAACCCTAACCGCTAAACCCTAAACCCCAAACCCCAAACCCTAAACCCTAAACCCTAACCCTAAACCCTAAACCGCTAAACCCTAAACCCTAAACCGCTAAACCCTAAACCCTAAACCCTAAACCCTAAACCCCAAACCCCAAACCCCAAACCCTAAACCCTAAACCCTAAACCCCAAACCCTAAACCCTTAACCCCAAACCCCAAACCCCAACCCCGAACCCTAAACCCCTTGATAGCCCCTTGTAGCCTCGAGGACCGAGGGCTTGGGTGATCTCGGCTTCAGCAGCGAGTCTGAAGGCCCCGAGAACCCAGGCCGGGTGGGAGCAGTTTAGGGTGCATTCTGGGTTTAGGCTTTAGGGTGTTTCGGGTTTAGGGTCCTCCAGGGTGTTTAGGGTTTAGGGTTCAGGGTGTTTAGGGTTCAGGGTTGAGGGGTTTATTCTAAAGGTCCTTCGAAGGGGATGGGCCATTGGGATACGACGGTCCCTTGAAAGGGGAGTCCTCACTAAGAATGGGAACCTGCCTCACAGCATGGTTAGGGTTCGGGGTGTGTATGTAGGCAGGTGCGTAGACAACTGCCCTGTGCGCGCCCGCTGCTGCAGACAGCGAGCTCTTCCGCAAGTCGAGGCCTCGATAGGTTCAACAGAACTTGAAACCACTAGACGGCAGACAAGGGCCTCTGGAGGCAGTGCTGGCACTGCAGCCCTTTGGCCTCACCCTGTGTGGGATTGCGGCAGATTTGTGCCAGAAGTCAACACTGAACCTGTGCCTGCGGTCTTGCAGATCGGCCAATTCATTCGTAGAATTATCATCTGTAGGGCACCCGCGAGAGAAGCCCCCGCATGTATGTACCATAAGCCTTAACACCCGGAAAGCAAAACCCTAAACCCTAAACCCTAAACCCTAAACCCTAAACCCTAAACCCTAAACCCTAAACCCTAAACCCTAAACCCTAAACCCTAAACCCTAAACCCTAAACCCTAAACCCTAAACCCACATGCAAGAACTCCGCCTCGTTCTCGAACCCGTGCCGAAGGTGGCGACATTGTCGCACAAAGCTCCGAGACTTCCGAGGCAGACTTCAAGGAGCCAAAGGCCCCAGTTGTTCAGCTCTGCGATTGAGGAGCCCTAAGCCCTAACCTTGAGAACCCTAAACCCTAGCCCTAAACCCTAAACCCTAAACCCTAATCCCAAACACTTCTTGGAGTTGCAAACAAAGGGGAACCCATAATGTAACCCTAGTTCACAACCCATAGACATTTTTCCCAAAACGAGTGTCTCCCATAGAGCCCGAGTCCCTAAACCCCCTCCCCGCCCTGCCTCAGCCGTAAAAGCTCTCGCCGGGGGTTTGGGGTTCAGGGATTAGGGTTTAGGGTTTAGGGTTTCGGGTGAGCGGTGAAGCGCATGACTAGCCAAGCGGTAGAAGGCTGGATGCAAGCGGATCACGCGCCCTTGGGTGCCCTTCTGGTGCACACTAAGACCCGAAACCCGAAAACCCGAAAACCCGAAAACCCGAAAACCCGAAAACCCGAAAACCCGAAAACCCGAAAACCCGAAAACCCGAAAACCCGAAAACCCGAAAACCCGAAAACCCTAAAACCCTAAAACCCTAAAACCTAAAACCCAAACCCCAAAACCCTGTTCCAAAGACCCCAAGAGTGGAGCCATGCGCCCTAGTGTGGTCGCTGACCCTTGTTGAGGAGGGATCCGAAGCATGGGCCCCGATTACTTAGCGTAGAAACGGGTTGTATAACAAGGCGCCCAAGTTAAGGCCCATACTTGGAACCTTGGACAGACCCGAAGCCCAGAACCCTCCAAGAGCACCTGAACCCTAAACCCTAAACCCTAAACCCTAAACCCTAAACCCTAAACCCTAAGACCCTAAACCCAAAACCCTAAACTCTAAACCCTAAACCCTCAACCCTCAACCCTCAACCCTAAACCCTAAACCCTGCCAAGGTATGCCAAGAGTCTGGGTGTGGAGCCCGACCAGGACGTTGACCTCCTGTGGGTTGCGAGGGAGGCTGGGCTGGGTGCTGTTTAGGGTTTAGGGTTTAGGGTTCAGGGTTCAGGGTTCAGGGTTTAGGGTTTAGAGGAGAGCGCTCCGAGAACGAAACCTGGAGCCTGCATGGTCTAGGGCTTACGCGGCTCAGGATTTCTAGATGTGTGTATTTATATACACATCTACGTACACTATCTATACATCTATATATACATTTACATATATATATATATACATATGAATATGATGCACGTGTACAGGCTTTAGGGTTTGGGGTTTGCATTGTTGGGTTCAGGGTTTACCCTAAACCCCTAAACCCCTAAAGCCCTAAGCCCCTAAGCCCCTAAACCCCTAAACCCCTAAACCCCCAAACCCCTAAACCCCTAAACCCCTAAACCCCAAAACCCCAAAACCCCAAAACCCCAAAACCCGTAAACCCCTAAACCCCTAAACCCCTAAACCCCTAAACCCCTAAACCCCTAAACCCCTAAACCCCTAAACCCCTAAACCCCTAAACCCCTAAACCCCTAAACCCGTAAACCCGTAAACCCTGAACCCTGAACCCTGAACCCTGAACCCTGAACCCTAAACCCTAAACCCCAAACCGCAAGGCCTTTGAAGCTCCACTGCCGGCAAGCTGGTCCGAACACCTGGACCAGGAGCGGCGCATTTACTTCTTCAACCAGGCACGCTTGAGTTAGGGGTAGGGTTTAGGGTTTAGGGTTTAGGGTTTAGGGTTTAGGGTTTAGGGTTTAGGGTTTAGGGTTTAGGGTTTAGGGTTTAGGGTTTAGGGTTTAGGGTTTAGGGTTTAGGGTTTAGGGTTTAGGGTTTAGGGTTTAGGGTTTAGGGTTTAGGGTTTAGGGTTTAGGGTTTAGGGTTTAGGGTTTAGGGTTTAGGGTTTAGGGTTTAGGCACCTGAGTGCTGCCAAACCCCAGGGGAGGGCTTGACTCACGAGCCTTGCGTCGATGCCAGGTCACGCAGCAGAGTAGCTGGTCTCATCCGATGGACCCGGCCTGAGCGAAGTTGTGGGTTTAGGGTTTAGGGTTTAAGATTTAGGGTTTAGGGCTTAGGTGCAGAGGTGACAGCACTCCCCCTCCGCATGTGACGATGAAGGTTCAAGGATTCTCAGAACGATTCCGTGAGCACCTTAAACCCCAAACCCCAAAGCCGCCCAAAGCCCTAAGTCCTAAACCCTAAACCCTAAACCCTGAACCCTAAACCCGAAACCCTAAACCCTAAACACGAAACCCCAAGCCCTAAACCCTCAACCCCAAATCCCACGAGCCCCTGAACCCTCAGCCAGGATGAGGTCTTCCGAGACCTCGTCCAGCTGATCAAGTCTGTGAGGCATCCGGGAGTTGGGTTTAGGGTTTAGGGTTTCGGGTTTCGGGTTTAGGGTTTAGGGTTAGGGTTTAGGGGGGGAGGGGGCGGCCTGCAGATTCGATGGGTGCCGATGTTTGTGTAGGGGTTCTGGTTTTTAGGGTTTAGGTTTTTAGCAAAAAAGGGTTTAGGGTTCAGGGAACGGTGGTGTGAGGGCCGGCGATAATGAGGGTTTCGCCTTGGGGGTAATCCGAAGTGCAAGGCCCTAAT